CGTATATTAATATATAAAATAATAATAAGAAGAATAAAAATATATTAATGATTTGATTAATTTTAATTGGATCACGTGGTTTGCACCCCATCAAAATATCCTATCAATTTATTTTTTATTATCCCTATAATGTATTAGTCTAGTCAAACTCAGAAACTTGAAAGTGATGATTTTCATGAATAAAAAGTTATACACTGGTCAACAAAACTTCTTACTTGGTAATAAACAAAAATTAAAGGTTTGTCATTAACTCCTAACTGAAATGCCCAAAATCATACAAGATTAGAAAATAATCTTCAAGATGAAGATCAAGAATATGGGTAGAGAGAATTTTCACCAATCTTCTTTGTATTTCTTGAGATAAAACATAACAGCACTAAATCTGATTAATTGCAGAACTAATTACAATTAAGAAGCTAATCCCTATTTATACTAAGGAAAACAATAAGGCCTAACTATTACAAAGCAATATAAAAGGAGAATTTGAATACAACATTAACGCACATACTTGAACCCAACATTCTCCCCCTTTGGATTCAAGTTCGAACTCTTGTAAATCTTGTCTTTCTGAGTCCGAGTAGTTTATCCAGCCTCCTCAGTGCATTCCGATATTGCAATTTTTCTTCAAGCAAATTCAAGGCATTTATCAGCAAGTACCTTTCCTTCGGACTCATCCTCTCCGACTCCGCAGCTTTATCATTATTAACTCTTCTCGTATCCAGCGCCCGTCTCACCATTCGAATAGCCCCATCAGAGAATTTTTTTAGTTCACTGAACCTCATGAATTTCTTTATCCGACCCTCAGCATCATATATCACCCCGAACTCTGGTTGTTCAAGAATCATGTAGAACGGATACGCTTCAATGTCTTCCAGCTCTTGATCAGGTCTCTTCAAATTAATAATTCTCTTACTATCTTCAAGTCCCATTTGGACATCAATAACCATAGAAACTTTGACATGACTACGCATAAACCTTTTGATCGTACTAAGAGCCACAAGAACTCCTTTATTTATGTTCGTCATATTCCGGATTCCATGGTATATATACTCCAGGTCTTCTAAGTACAAGTTTGAGAAGTCGGCTTCATTAAATCTCCAGACCTTACCATCTTGTCGTGTCACTATGAATACCGGATACCAGACTCTGAGAAGTCTTTGAGCATCAATTTGTTTCATTGACACAACTCAAAGTTTGATCCTAACTTGACTGATCGGGAGACGCTTGGCTTTGAGGAAGTGTTTATACTCCAAACGATAGTCTTTAGATTCCTTGTGGATACCAAGGATCTTATCAGCACTTAGAGCTTTTCGGTGCCGGAGGAAGATGCCAAAATAGATGTCTTCAAGATAAGGCTCTTTGATTCTAGCCCTGTCATAGCCTGGAAAGTTTGCCCGAATTGCAAATGGCACATAATTCTTCATAAAAATCTCAGTCGGATCAAATGGCTCTCTGGGAGTATTGGATGCACCAGCTTCAACTATAGTGGAAGGTTCTGGCAATGTCTGACGATCACCCTGAAATGGGAATATTGGGTCTTCATCATTGATTTCAGCTTCAAAGTCAAAATATAACCCAGATGATTCGTCAATATTATCTATATCTTCTCCGAAATCCTGTTCTCCACCCAGTTCTATAGCAAAGACATCGTTAAAACCAATATTGGCTGACAAGTCCAGTAGCAACCTTGTTCCTACCGTGGAGTCCGCAGGCTTTTCAACCATTGGCTCGATCGCTAGACTTGTCTCCAATACATCATCATCTTCCACAATTATTGCCTCAATAATTCTTTCCCTTGTAGATTCAGGGACAGAACCTTCAACATTAACATCTTGAGTAGCTGACTCTCTTTCAATACTAAGAGTGCGAGCAGACGACTCAGCCACCCTTTGTCTTTTCCTCTCCCCCTCATGATGATCAGGATCTTTCGGGTCATCATGCCTTCGTTTGAGTGAGGTGGCCTAAGCTCAGCAAGTCTTTTCTAGGATAGATACCCGTTCGAAAAGGGCATCAATTGAACTTTTAAGAACTTGGGTGTTTGATGTGATTAACTTACTAACTTTGGTAAAGCTAGAAGCAATCACATCCTGAAAGGCCAAAAACTCTAAGGCTCGAACTGTGGGGTTTTCATCAATTTGTTGTCTTAGAAGCCCAACCAAATCTGCATCTTCTGCATCAGGATTTTGAGATGAAATCAGTTTAGCGTATAACAAGGATTTAAGTTCGTCCACCGATTGCTCTTGTACCGTCGGAGGCTCAGGTACAGGCGGTGGTGATGGCGCAGATGGTTGTTCTTCTTCTACTTGCTCCTTCCTCTTCAATAGTCTTTTGAGACTAGCAATCTGAAGATCCATATTGTCTTGAACAGCCTTTAGGGCGTCGTCCAAATATTCCCTTGACACAAGGTTTGGTAAAATAACTCCTGGATCACTTAGATTACCAGTTGAAACAACAGTTGAGTAAATTGTTGTGCCTACGTTCAGTGTTGGTAAAGTGGTAGCACTGGTAGGACTTCCGACCGGTCCTTGTAGGAGGTCAAATGACACCACTCTGGTCATTCCGGCGAGTTCACTAAGAACCGCAATAGGAGCAACAGATGCTCGAGACTCTTGTGTACCTAAGTGTATCGGCTCTAGACTCGAGGTGCCCAAAATCAAAGTCGTAGGCTGGGGCAGCGGCCTACTTGTTTCAATATCTACATTCTCCAAGTGAGAAGTAGATAGCATATGTGCTAAGTCCCCGTGTTGAAATGAAACAACTGGTTGTTGAGAACCAGTTGATTGATCGGGTTGGGTGTGCAAGTGCATAGCTGGGCTAGTTATGTCTTCTTCAATACCAACATTCAACGGATGAATGTCAATAGCAGATGTGGGTGCCCGGCTATGTGTTTCAGCTAGGAAAGGAGCTTGGTCTTGATTTTGTGCTCCACTCTCACACTCACCATATTTTTCTGCTTCCCTTCCACTCAATCTCTCAGCATTTTCAACTTCAGCTCCCTCATCTTCTCCTTCTACTGGAATATCTGACAAGTCTTCCAGCATTCGATCATAGTCATCAGGTCTGGTTCCAAAATCATCAACATTAAATGACAGAGAATGCAGACTTGGACAAGTTTGTGGAGGTTCAAACTCTGAAAAAATCTCATCAATATTATCAACCACTGCTCCTATTTGAATAGTCTATGAAAGAATCGGTTGAGCAGGGTTGTCAGCATCATCATCATCATTGTCATTGTCATCACCCTGAGTTGCCTGATTGTCGGATATTGTATCTTCAGAACATGAAGAAGTCGAGGAAGTACTATCTGATGAAAATCTATGCTAATCAGAGGCTCCCCGCTCCTCGTTACCCCTCTCAGTTACATTTTCCCTCAACTCACAGCCATATTCAGGTAACCCGTGTTCCTGAACGCTCTCACCTACAGCTAAACCCTCTCTCACAGTTGAGGCATGGGGTGATCCCGGGGTAAGTTCAATCGGTTCTGGCTGAACTATAGGATCTATCACTCGTCTATAATCTATAACGCACTGAGCCCTCTAATCAGCGAAGGCAAATAACTCGGGTGGAATCTCCATGATTGAGTCCAGATCTTCAACTTCAGTATGTTGCCGAATTCTAATCAAGACAAACGTCGGCCCCATTTCACTATTAGCTCTGGCTGGGATGTTTTCGTTTGAGTTCATCATGGCTTTTATGAAAAGTTGCAGAAACCGTTGAAAAGGCATGAACTTTCTGGCTTTTGACGGAAATCTCTTAGCATTAACAAGCTCGACCAGTTCATTCCATATGATGAGGGCATAATCGTATTTGCACGTAAAGACGATCCCATGGAAGAACTTTAGGAATGAACTATTGCACGTATCGATTCCTACAGTTTTTTGACGTCAGGCATTTGTTGAGGATTGAGAATAGTAGATGCTAGATCGACGGTAGGAAACGCCATTTGAATTGAGACGGGTTAGTCAACTCTTGCGAGTATCCTAACCGTTTGATGTCACGACAGAGGTCATCATCTGTTACAAGCGTTTCAAAGCCTGTGGAGCTCGGTCCAGAAAGACGTAGTATTCTTCTAAGTCTTTTTAATGTCAATCGTCTGACATACTCGTCTACGCTTCCTTCGAAATAAAAAATTTCTCCGTCTTTGGCCAATGTTAGTGCATTCCAGAATGCTGTAAATATACCATTGGAACTGGTGTGTGGGCAGAAAGGGAATAGGCAATTGGGTGACCGCGCAGGATTTATGGGATTATTTGATACTCGGCAGGCATATCGAAGCTGAATGAATGGTTGTTTGGTTTCATTTCGAGATATTGGCATTGTGGGAATAAGGTTTCGTCGGGTATAGGTTGGTTTAATGGTTGAGGAGGGTTAGTTAAGTTGTCAGACCTGACAGAAGGAATGTGGGATTCCTCGTCAGACTGATGTTGAATATCCGTCATTTACCTGTAAAATATCTAAAATATTAGATCCCGAATTCATGAAACAAAGTGAATTACTCAAAATAAAAAAAATTAAAGGAAATAGAAAAAACTAAAAATATCAAGATATAAAAAAAAACTATTTTTTTAACAAAACTAAAAAATTTAACCAAAACTAAAAAAAAAAATTACTCAAAAGAAAATTTGAACTATAAAAGGAAAAAAATCTTAAAACAAATTTGACAAAAAAAATTCTAAAAAAAAAATATCAACCGGATTACTAATCCGGTCAACAAGAGAAACAAAAAAATCTAAGACAGACTTAAACCGGACAACATTATCAACCGGATTAAGGTTGATCGGAGTAAACTCCGGTCACCTTCTCCGGTGAATAATCCGGCCAAGACTCAAAAACACTAAATCGATCAACACAGCAAAATTCAACCTAAACTAATCCTAACAAAAAAATGGGACAAAACTTAACCCTAAAACCATTTTTATTAGAATTGATTATATAAGTTTTGACACATTTTAAGGTTCGATCGATTTACAGTCCAAAGAAATGTTCGATTCAGATTCAAAAAAAAATTATGAGATTCAATTAGTTACATATTATAACAGTCCAATAAGTCCAAGAGAATCATAGTTATAGGATTATTCATCAAGTTCCAAAACAAATGTAACCTTGAAAAAATGGATGAAGAAACAGAAAGATTAGATGAAGTTCTTGAATGTCTTGAGCGATTTAACAGAGATTAGGCGGAGACGACGATGAATAGGAACAAACGATTTATGGTAAATGTAAAAAATGAGAAGTAAAAATGAATCGAGTATATATAGTCAAAGTCAAAAACTGTTCAGATTCTAAACCGCTCAAAGCTTATCCGGATTAGGATTAATCGGACAAGAGGTGTCCGATTTAGAGAATATGAAATAACCAAGTGATAATTCGGACAATAAATCTCTCAAGGCATAGGCGATTTAGAAGAACACCGGTCAAGAGTCATCCGGTTTAAGAATAAATCGCTCAAAAGTCCATCGATTTAAGAATAAATTGCTCAATGAATAATTTAAATCGCTCAACAAATAAGTTAAATCGCTCAACAAACAAACGATTTAAACACTTAAAATGCATTAAGAACATAAGCGATTGAGCAATCCGCTCAAATATACCAAGCGGTTTAGAAATCCACTCAATCCCTTGTAAAACATATCTAACCTTATTTGGATAAGAGTTTATCATATAGCCTTTTGTCCGAATTAGTCTAAATCGGACACTACGTTGTCAGGATTTGCAATAAATCGGACAAGTGTTGTCCGGATTAGTCTAAATCGGTCAAACACTTATATTTTTAAACTCTACATCTTTCAAAAAATTAGATAATGTTTAAATATCTGTAAGAAAAATTTAAACTGTTAGTCCAAAAGAGATAAAATCACTCCCCCTCAAAATATGATCAAATAAAAAAAATATAGATAAAGATCCACACTCCCCCTCAAATATAGATTCTCACGATCAAGAAATTTAAAATCAGATAGAAAATTAAAACACTGACTTGTATTAAAAAATACAGATATTTGACCAAATGAATTTGAATTAAATACAATTCAATAAATTTAACCGTTTTTAATAAAAATTCAAATCTTCAAGTTAAGCATACCTAACTTAGATACAAGAAAGCTAAAACATTTTTCATCTAAAGCTTTCGTAAATATGTCAGCTAATTGAAACTCTGTATTTACAAAATACAGTTCAATGGTTCCTTTTTCTAGATGATCTTCAATTAAATGATATCAGATATCTATATGTTTGGTCTTTGTGTGTTGAACAGGATTACAAGAAATAGCAATTGCACTTTTAGAATCACAATAAATGGGAATTTTGTTAAAATAGAACCCGTAGTCTCTGAGCTGTGTCTGGATCCATAAAACTTGAGAACAGCAGCTCGCAGCAGCTACATATTCTGCTTCGGCAGTAGATATGGATACACAGTTCTGTTTCTTTGTTGCCCAACTGACTAATTTGTCTCCCAAAAATTGTAGATGTCCCGATGTGCTTTTCCTGTCCAATATACAACCTGCATAGTCTGCATCTGAGTAAGCTGTCAGTTCAAAACTAGTACCCTTGGGATACCAGACTCCAAGATTAGCAGTCCCTTTGAGATAACAGAAAATGCGCTTAACGATACTTAAATGGGACTCCTTTGGATTAGCCTGATATTTGGCACAAAGATGTGTTGAAAACATAATACCAGGTCTACAATACGTCAAATACATTAAAGAACGTATCATGCCTCGGTATGTTTTCTGATCTACAGCTTTTCCAGACGGATCAGCATGTATTTTCGTTCCATGAGCCATAGGTGTTTTTATAGATGAACAGTTTTCCAAATTAAATTTCTTCAGGATATCAAAAATATATTTTGTTTGACAAATAAAGATACCCGAAGATAATTGTTTTACTTGAAGACCTAAAAAGAAGTTCATCTCACCCATCATGCTCATTTTAAAACGCGAAACCATTAAGGCATAAAAGTTTTTGTAGTATTTTGGGTTTGTAGATCCAAATATTATGTCGTCTACATAAATTTATATCAAAATAATATCGGACTTTTCCTTTTTAATGAAAATAGTTGTGTCAATATTATCTTTCGAGAAGCCTGACTTTACCAGAAAATCTGATAAGATGTCATACTAGGCTCTCAGAGCTTGTTTAAGACCATAAAGAGCTCGGTCAAGGATGTAAACATGATCCGGCTTTGACTGATCCACAAAACCTTCCGGTTGAGCAACGTAGACTTCTTCCTTGAGAAAACGATACAGAAATGCTGTCTTGATGTCCATCTGGTACATTGTGAAGTTTTTGTGTGCCGCGTACACCAGAAACATCCGTATTGCTTCGATCCTTGCTACCGGGGCAAAAGTTTCGTCGTAGTCAACGCCTTCTAGTTGATTGTATTCTTTAGCGACAAGTCGGGCCTTATTTCTAATGACAACGCCGTCTTCATCCTTTTTGTTCTTGAATACCCATTTTGTACCGATATTCGTCTTATTGTTAGGACGAGGTACCAATCTCCAGACTTTGAGTGCTTCAAACTGGTTCAGCTCCTCTTGCAATGCGAGTATCCAATCCGGATCAACTAAGGCTTCAGATACCTTAGATGGTTCAATATTACTTAAGAACGTGGAGTATAGACACTCATTAGTTGTCGCAGACCGTGTACGAATAGGTGCTGATGGATCACCAATAACTTGATGTATTAGGTGATTTATGGTTCACTTCTTGTCATGAGGTAGGGGAACATATGAGCTTTGATATGAGTTTTGATTAGTGTAAGTATTTGGGGAGTTTATCGGAACAGGTTCAGGTGAAGGTTCAATATTTGGAACTGGAATAGGTTGAATATCTGGCTAAGGTAGGGTATTTTCATCTTGTACGACCGATACCTCTTGCACTTCAGAATTTTCACCCTCTTCACGCTGAACTGGACCATCAGGAGTTTCCATCTCTATTTCTTCATCAACGACTTTCGTTTCTTCTTCAGTTTCAGTTACTGGAACATCAGGAGATGGACCAGATAACTGTTGTTCGATCTCTATATTCCTGGACAAATCATTAGACTGATTAGATTTATTTTCAAAATATTCTTCATAAAAGTTCTCAAACAATGAATCTAAATCAGCATTATTAGAATTTGAAGATTTAGGTTGATCAGCTTTCCACGTAGTATTAATTATCAGCCCGAGTCCTGAAATGAATTGTTCAGAAGCCACATCAATGACTTCATCAAAAGAGACATTCACGCTCTCATTGATGATTTTGGTCCTCTTGTTGTAGACCCTATATGCAGCAGATGTCTTGGAATAACCAACGAAGACCGCTTCATCCGCTTTAGCAGCGAACTTCCCTCTGTCCTCTTTGTCATTTAAAATAAAACACCTGCAACCAAAAACTCGAATGAATTTGATATTAGGTATTCTTTTATTTATTATCTCATACGGAGTTTTACCAAACCTCTTGTGAACAAGGGATCGGTTCTGGGTAAAACAAGCAATCGCCATTGCTTCAGCCCATAAGAATAATGGAAGCTTTGAGCAGGTAAGTAATGTAAGCGCCGCTTCCACCAATATTCTGTTCTTACGCTCAACGACACCATTCCGTTGTGGTGTTCAGGCTGCCGAGAACGTATGTGTGATACCAATGGATTCAAGGAATGAACCGAGTGTATTGTTCTTGAATTCAGTTCCGTTGTCAGTTCTGATTTTCTGAACTGGCAGTTGCAGATTATTTTGGACTGTCTTCAAGAAAGAGATTATTGTCTCGGCCACTTCATCTTTTGATCTTAGAAAATGAACCCAGGTATATCTCGAGTAATCATCGACTATGACTAACACATACTTCTTCCCGTTAATGCTTTGAACTCACATAGGACCACAGAGATCCATATGGAGTAAATGTAGAGGACGTTCGGTGTTGAACTATGTCTTCAGCTTATGTGAAGCTTTCTTCAGTTTGCTCATCTCACATGCACCGCATACATGGTCTTGATGAAACTCTAGGTATGGGATGCCTTTAACCAAGTTGTCGCAAACCAACTTGTTCAGATATTTGAAGTTTAAATGTGAAAGACGCCGATGCCATAGCAGATTCTGCATCAAGGATGCCTTGGATATCAAGCAGACGTCAATATCTACTTGTGTATTGGATAGGTCAATTGTGTAGTGTTAGGAATGAAATTCTGTGTAAAATTGTATTCGTCTTGAAAGATAAAATTGTCTATAATTGTGTTAAAGTCATCGTGTTTGACTTTTCTTTAAGATAGTTTGACTTTGACCTTTTCTCATGTTTGACCCTATATAA